AAAATTGGGTAAAAATGATAAAGTGACATTTGCTCAGGGCACCGGAGGTAGATGAGTTATACAGTCTGATGGCCACAGGAAGAAAGGACTGAAGGTAGTGACTCAAGTGCTGTTAGACTGCTTATCTGATTAGAGAAGAGACATGTACTGATAAGGCACCCTCCCCTAATATGTCATTGCAGAGGTGAGTGTGTGCAGCACCGTGTCACAAGGTCCTCGCCATGGAGCTGGCTCACAGTCTGCTGCTCAATGAAGATGCCTTGGCCCAGATCACCGAAGCGAAGAGGCCCGTCTTCATCTTCGAATGGCTCCGCTTCCTGGACAAAGTGCTTGTGGCAGCGAATAGGGTGACTGTTCAGATTGTGGCGTTGTTGTTTCTGCGTGGGGGTTTTTTGCAGAGCGGTTTGTGACGGCGTTGTGTGTTTGAATGGCAGGTGGACGTGAAGGAGAAGCAGAAGAAGCTAGTGGAGCAGCTGACGGGGCTGATCAGCAGCGCCCCCGGACCGCCAACGAGAAAACTGCTGGCCAAAAACCTCGCCACCCTTTACAGCATCGGCGACACCTTCACTGTTTTTCAGACTCTGGATAAATGCAACGAGATCATCAAAAGCAAGGATGACACGCCTGCGTACCTGCCAACAAAGCTGTAAGATACCTTTTAATCACAGCACAGCGTTTCATTTCATTGGCAATTTCTTTAACAAAGTGACTGCGTATAAACATATTCTGCTTGATATTATACACATTTGCATTAAGATATAAGCTTAAGCAGTGCTCTCAGTATCCCAGGCATATACCGTAGGCCCACTGTCAGAGGTATTAGCAGTTAAGCCAAACGTTAATCTGCAGAGTGACATTTCATTAAAAGCGGGGATTAAGTGTACATGAGCAGATATTATGCTGTGTTTCTTGCTGGTATTACGAGAATCTAACAGTAGTTGAAGCTGCAGACTTTAGGGTCCTATCCATCATTCTTTTATAGCTGCTTATTTCTGTGCAGATTCTGGTGGACTGAGAGGGGATGTGGGGTACAGGGCTGAAGACCTTGCTAACCCCTGAGCCACTGTGCTACTCATACTCCAGTGTTACAGTTTAAATAATAATGTGTTTGGAGCTTTGAGGTTACATTTGACTCTTATTTTGCTATTCTCACCAATAACATGAAATAAAAAACAGCCTAAATGTTCTCAAGAGTAGATTTAAGTTATACATGTTAGAATATCTGGAATAAAAAGAAACCCACACTTATGGCAGTTCAATTTAATTGGACGATATCAATTTTAAGTGTTATGTACTGGACCCATATGCAGTTGTGCGTTATTTTCACACTAATACCTTATTTCGGTACGGACACTTTCTCTTTTCTTGCAGTGCTGCAGTGGCCTGTGTTGGAGCTTTTTATGAAAAGATGGGCAGGATGCTGGGAAGCTCCTTTCCAGACACCATTAATAATCTTTTGAAGGCATTAAAGAGTGCAGAGGTATAACTTTTAAGAGTGCACAGTTAGGAAATGCAATGTCTATAGGTATATTGGTATATAACGGATCAGTAATGGATAACTAAAGAGATTTGATCTTCAGAAA